GATTTGTAAAACATGATCAAAAGTTACTTCCAAGGTTGTCTCATTTAAGACAGTAACTTCCGTAACGGCTTTTATTGTCGGTTACCTTTCTTCGATTATACTTTTTCTTACATTGGCAATAAAGACTCTGTTGATATTTTTAATTTTCCTTATTGTAGGTTTATTTTCCTTTGATGAATAAGAAAAATTAAGTTTTTTCCTTTATACATATAACATCCGTAACTTTTAACTTCCGTAACATGAATTTACGGAATTGATTGACGAAACCGGGTTTGTACTCTACGTACGGGGACTTAATTTTAACGTTACGCCGGTCAGATGAAACAGAAAACATTTTTTTTTTTTGGAATACAGTATAATTTAGTGAATGGAGCAATTGAATAATTAAGTAAGTATTGGATAAATGTTTGCAATGTTAATAAAAAATATAATTGATGAGGTTAAAAAGGAGGTTTTCCTTAAATCAAACGCTGAAACCTACCTAAAACAATAAACCACATTTCGTCTGCTAACTATCGGTGAAATGGGAAATTTTCAAGCACAGAAAATATTGACCAGGCCGTTACGGCAGTTATTTTGAAATAAACAAACAATAGTGCATCATTCTAGGACAACCATAATGTTTTCTTTTGTCGTTTTGGTCAATTTTTTTCACCAAAACTTTCTTGTGATGTTTAATATCAAAAATACTTGTCTTTCCCACTATCAAAATGCAGACTCATAGACCTTAAGTCATTGTATACGTGGTAATTTTTGTTTGAAATATATTATGAAGGTAACAAACCATTTTTTTTTATAATGCTTATTATAGTTCTTGTTTCTAAAGCTATATACATGATATCTGAGAAAATTACACAACCAATAAGTGTCTGTATATTATCCATGTGTGGTTTCACTCCTCAAAGCACATCGTAACGGAAGTTAAATGCACGTTACGTATGTTAAATAAAATGAATACTATATATAAAATGAAATCAAATATTCTTTACACCTAAAACTAAACTAAATTTCGTTTCCCTTTCTTTCACAGGTATGCCGCTTTCAAATGCAGAGAGACAAAAGCGATGGAGGGAGCGCCAGAAAGAAAAAGATATTAACAAGTTCTTAGATACAGAAAGGAAAAGAAAAAGGGAATCATATATTCCTATTACCAATTTAGGCAAGAAGGCCCAAAAGAAGAGACGAAAAGAAGTAAGAGATCGTGTGAAACAACATTATGAAAGAAAAAGGCTTGCAAAAATGTCCGTAATAAATATGCCAGATGAAGGCCCTTGCACATCAACGAGAAAATCAACTAGTCTACAGAAGAGAGATGTTCTTTTAGTCAAATTTCCATCATATGAAAGAAAAGGACACTATACGAGAAAATGTTATAAGAGATCACTAAGAAATGCCTACCGTAAAATACAAGAATTAGAATGTAAAAATGACAAATTGGTTCGCGGCAATAAACGTATACAGAAAAGAATTGAAAGACTAGCAAAACAAAAAATTAATCAATCTTCAGATGCCGATAATGAAACTAGTACTGCGCCTGAAACAGAGTCCTTGACAACACCACCAAACTCACCAAATATGACTCCACGATCATGGTGGCAAATATTTCATGCATATTCAGGACGAGAACAAGTTCACAATAAATACAATAGGTAGGTTCTGTAATAGATTAAGGGATTAAGGTCGGAGAAATTTAGACTGCCACGGGAAATGAGGGTATATTGGATAGGGACAGAAATTTAGCCTTGCAACAGGTCACCTACGGACCCCTCAAAGAGTTGTTGCAAGGGTTCTTAACGTGCAAAGAGCGTGGCACTCTCTTTACACAAGGTATCGGATTTAACGTCCCCATTCTGACCGGACGTGGCTGCAAATTTGTACATCCCGCACAGCCAAACGGACGCCCCACTTTGACAAGGGTTTTACTGCCGGTCGGAGGAAGACCAATGGTGATCATACTTCTATTCCCCAGTCACCCTTGTGGGGGGGGGGGGGGGGGGCATAATGAAGAAACTACCATTTTTTACATCAAGAAAATATGGATTCATGTCTGAGCTAAATAGAAAAACTGGAATAGATAGAAAGAAAACGACAAAAAGAACTGAACCAACAAAGAAAGAGTCGTCAAAACTGAAACTGCAAGGGCAAGTTACGAATTTCTTAGAACGAGAAGACAACAGTTCAATACTTGTTGGAAAGAGGAAAAATGATGCTGTATATATTGACCAGACTGAGTACCAAAAGCGGATTTTGTCTGACTATATGCACAATCTGCACGATAAATTTCGTTTAGAAAAATCCAGAGGTGAAAGTTTCCCAAGCAAAGTTTTACCGTTCAAGACCAAACTATTTTCTTCTGGCCAATTTTGCATCGAGAAAAACATGTCTCTGTTCTAGACATCAAAACATGGCACTTAAATTAAAAGCTATGAGATCATTAGGGTTGAATTTTTCTAAGAGTCCAGACTCATTTATTAAAGACCAGGATACAAATGAGAAACTAAGAAACACACTAGAGACTGGGCTACCTGAAGAGGTAAAGTTCACTCAGTGGAAAAAAGTTTTAGATGGAAACAAACAAAGATGGAAAGAGATGAATTCATGACTATAATTGAAAACCAAACTACGGATTTCCGAAGTCATGTTGAGAGAGTAAAAACTCAGTATTCAGAAATGAAAAAATTAAGAGAAAACTTGCCAGAAAATGAAATAGTATTATGGATGGACTTTGCGGAAAATTTTGTGTGTACATCGGTTGAGGCAGTTCAGTCCTCGTATTGGAATCAATCTATGGTGAGTCTACATACAATGGTAGTATACTTCCCAAAGGATCATGGACAACGTTTACAAAGCTTTGTAGCTGTCTCTGATGTTCTGTCTCATAATGCTACAGTCGTATATACAATCTTGACAAAAATCATGCCTTTGCTGAAGATAGAATGCCAGACTCTAGAGACAATCCATTATCTGACGGACTCACCAACCAGTCAGTATCGTAACAAAACAATTTTCAAAATTTTGACGGATCATATGGAAGATTTTGGCGTTAATGGTCGGTGGAATTACCTTGAATCAGGACACGGCAAAGGCCCTTGCGATGGCTTAGGGGCTAGTATTAAACGAGGAGCTGATATGGCCATTAGACAAGGCAAATGCTTGATCCAAAATGCGGAGGATTTTTATGCTTGGTCGAAACAAACAGAAGAGAATGGAAGCAAGATAAAATATTTATATTACAATCAGACCGATGTAGATGCTTGCAACGAGGTATTGCAACTCAGAGAAAACCCCATACCAATATCTGGAACATTTAAATTGCATGCTGTAGTTCCAACAAGTACATCCACTATATGGACAAGAGACATGTCATGCTATTGTGACGAATGCCTAACGGATGTTACAACGAGTACACATGGATGGGAAGAACATTTCATTCATAATAGGCAACAAGATAACAATAGAAATCCGCATGTTAATTCAACAATCAATGAAAACGAAGTAGCATCTGTTTCTGGCGAACACCCGGAAGTACATGTAGATGAAACCGAACATATTTCAGACCCAGAACTAAAGTTGGAACAATCATGCTGGGTTTCAGCTGTGTATGACGGAAGTTGGTACATTGGACAAATAGTGACAATAGATGAAGAAGAAAATGACGTAGAAATAAACTTTCTAGAGAAGGCAGGAAAATATTGTAAAGCCTTCAAGTGGCCACAAACAAAAGACCAGATATGGATACAAAAAAATAAGATACTTACTGTATTGAAAGAACCACGAACCGTAGGTAAATCGAAACGAATCGGATTTCAATTTGATGTAAAGGAATTAGATGAGATTGAAAAAAACATTCGATGAATGAATCTATCATTGTTTGTTGTGTTTTCACTGATATTCTTGACTGTTCATTTGCATATTAACTTCCGTAACACAATTCATTAAGTCAATTATTCATCTTAATAAAGGCAAAGTTCATGTCAATTGCGATTGTTATACTTGTTTTTTTGGAAATATGATATGCATACTTTGAAGTTGTAATAAAATTGGGCTACATTCTTCACACATATGTATAGTATTGGCTGTCGTTTGTCTGGTACGCGTCTAAAACAAAAGGAGTGTTCTTCCAAGATTAATTTTGAACTTATACTTCAAATTGATGCATGATTCTATACATTTTTCCTTATAAAAAGCATGAAAATTACATTTGAAAGAAGAAAAGTATAATACAGGTCCGTCAGTTATCATATTTTCTGTTCTTTCTTACTAATAACTTCCGTAACAAGATTTTTTACAGGTTTGTAAAATGAGTCAAAATATAAAAATGAAAGAATATTTGTGAGTATTTTTGTTGTTTTCTTATCGCATTGTGTGTTTATATGAAGGAAAAAATACTACATAGCATGAATTTGGGGAATATTTTTTTCGTTTTATTTTTTTGGAATTTCGTAGAATGACTGATTAACTTTGCATTTTCGTTTTTGATATGTTATTTGTCAGCTCTGATAGTAGGTTAAAATGAAAATGATGTGAAGTATCTACCAGAAATTATGCCATAGAGGCAGTTTAAGTAATTATGTTGATGGAATCTGATAAAGCAAACGGTACAAATTCCTATCATTCATAATTAAAACTGATTAAACTACTGTTTGAGTGCGGACATAGGTATCAAGATTGTGTTTGACTATAGACGTCATACAGCTTTATGAAATAATTTTGTCGTTGGTAGTACGAACAGGCACTCCCACTTGTTTTGTTGTTTCTAGTTCCGTATATTGGGCGAGCAACACAAACAGGCTTAGTTGGGATCCAGCAGCCAAAATTCAAAATTGGATAAACATACAATACAGACATTCAATTCAACATTCTAGAAACGTCATACTAACTCACTAATCAAGATATCCAAAATAAAAAGATAAATTTCCATTCGACCCAAACAAAATTATTTTGTAGTTGATAGTACTTATAGTATATTAAACATGATGCCGTACTAGGAAGTACACCACTAATTCATGGCCCCGTTGCTTTCTATGTTAAATTCCTCAATTTCAAGCAGACACAGCTCTTTTGTTTCAAGTTCAAATAAAGTGACAATCATTGCATGTCAAAGCAACACTTTATGGTGTCTTGTACTGGAAAAATCAACATATCTTTAATGGCATATAAGAAAGAACTGGTTCCCGGAACTTCGGATGTACCAAAACAGGTACTTCAGATCTGACATACAGGCAAAAAGTACCCTCTTTATAAAATTTGGTGCAGTTTTTTTAATATTCAAAATTATCAGTCAAAAAGTGTTCTTCAATGATCACCAGTCATTCAGCTTTCATTTGATACCAACAATACCTAAATATTCTACATATTTTGAAAGTTACACTCATGCGTAGGAACTATTTTGTGTTAAATATGTACTACTTTCTTGTATGTGCTTTCTGGCCGGGCCGAATTAGTGGTGTTACACCTATAACAGAACCAAACTTGCTATACTGACTTCAGCATCACTTTATTTCATTCTATGATCTATTTCAAGCAATAAAAAACACATAAAGCTTAAGTCCAAATACTATTTTACTAATTTTAAGCTCAAATTGGACTGGTAGTAACATATAGGTTATTCAAAGAAAACTGCAAATGGATATTATAAATGGCCAATATACTTATTTTATTCTCAATATCATTGTTGTATTTAATAATTTCTGTTAGGAAAACAATGTGCTTACCAATAGTCATATTTCACCAGAGTTTGTTCATTTAATAAAAATATATTAGACCAAACCTAAGACATAATTGAGAAAATTGTCCCCCCTTTTTTCTTCAAATTGGAAAAGGGACATTTTTGGTATAAACCATACTTCTGTGGTACAACATAGATTATAAAGAGCAATTTATATATTTATCAGCTGGTTAACTTGCTAAACTGGTTCAAAATTGCATGTACAGGGAGATTTTGGAATTCTTATATGAGTATATACCAATTGGCTAGATTGTAAAAGGCTATCATAAGAAAACCAATAAAACTTGAAAAATCATAGGATTATTTGACCAAGAGCTATTTTTTTACTATAAAGAAGTCATTATATACATGTTTTATTGATTGCAATCCCAAATAATGCAAAAATAAGAATTTGGAGTCAAGTCTTAACAGCATGCATGTTGTGTGACCATAAAAGGCTAAAATACCTGTTTATGTCAATTTAAGAGCTGAAATTTCTCATAAACAGAATTGTTCGTCCAAAAAAGATGATTAAACATGTTTACTTACATCAAATATGACTTATTTTCATTGGAATAGGTACAACTTCTAAAAATTGAATTTCTGATGATTCTCTGTAATACAGAACCAAACTTGCTATACTGACTTCAGCATCACTTTATTTCATTCTATGATCTATTTCAAGCAATAAAAAACACATAAAGCTTAAGTCCAAATACTATTTTACTAATTTTAAGCTCAAATTGGACTGGTAGTAACATATAGGTTATTCAAAGAAAACTGCATATGGATATTATAAATGGCCAATATACTTATTTTATTCTCAATATCATTGTTGTATTTAATAATTTCTGTTAGGAAAACAATGTGCTTACCAATAGTCATATTTCACCAGAGTTTGTTCATTTAATAAAAATATATTAGACCAAACCTAAGACATAAATGAGAAAATTGTCCCCCCTTTTTTCTTCAAATTGGAAAAGGGACATTTTTGGTATAAACCATACTTCTGTGGTACAACATAGATTATAAAGAGCAATTTATATATTTATCAGCTGGTTAACTTGCTAAACTAGTTCAAAATTGCATGTACAGGGAGATTTTGGAATTCTTATATGAGTATATACCAATTGGCTAGATTGTAAAAGGCTATCATAAGAAAACCAATAAAACTTGAAAAATCATAGGATTATTTGACCAAGAGCTATTTTTTTACTATAAAGAAGTCATTATATACATGTTTTATTGATTGCAATCCCAAATAATGCAAAAATAAGAATTTGGAGTCAAGTCTTAACTGCATGCATGTTGTGTGACCATAAAAGGCTAAAATACCTGTTTATGTCAATTTAAGAGCTGAAATTTCCCATAAACAGAATTGTTCGTCCAAAAAAGATGATTAAACATGTTTACTTACATCAAATATGACTTATTTTCATTGGAATAGGTACAACTTCTAAAAATTGAATTTCTGATGATTCTCTGTAATAGGAAGTACACCACTAATTCATGGCCCCATTGCTTTCTATGTTAAATTCCTCAATTTCAAGCAGACACAGCTCTTTTGTTTCAAGTTCAAATAAAGTGACAATCATTGCATGTCAAAGCAACACTTTATGGTGTCTTGTACTGGAAAAATCAACATACCTTTAATGGCATATAAGAAAGAACTGGTTCCCGGAACTTCGGATGTACCAAAACAGGTACTTCAGATCTGACATACAGGCAAAAAGTACCCTCTTTATAAAATTTGGTGCAGTTTTTTTAATATTCAAAATTATCAGTCAAAAAGTGTTCTTCAATGATCACCAGTCATTCAGCTTTCATTTGATACCAACAATACCTAAATATTCTACATATTTTGAAAGTTACACTCATGCGTAGGAACTATTTTGTGTTAAATATGTACTACTTCTTGTATGTGCTTTCTGGCCGGGCCGAATTAGTGGTGTTACACCACTATTTAACACTTTCCCGACAAAATACAAATTAAGTGAACTATTGAAACAAGGGTACACAAAATGAAAATAACACTATACTAATGTTCGACCCTGGTAAGACTTTGAGGTAAGCGGTCAGAAAGTCACAGATAGTTTGTTTCTAATTGTTTGAAAATAAAAGAAAGTTCTTGAATAATTATTTTATTACATACTTGTATTCACATTACAGTTTATGTAATTGTTAGTAAGCCAACATGTGTGTGTAAGGCTTTTCGTCTTTTTAATACTTCATCATCTTAACTCTGCAATTCCTATTTCTTTTCATTAATGACCTCATTACAGATTTATATTATCAATACCAACTTACAACTAATAAACGTGTGGGGTTAAATAAATAGCAGTAAGATTGACAATATAGGTCATCAGTAGTGAATATAAAGTGCTGATAATTCAAATATTGTTCTAATTTTATAACCACATTTTAAATCAGGCAACTGACATGTAAAGGAAGTACAACTTATCTGCATTGAAGAGGAAATATGGCAAATCCTCTTTATCTTCATTCCACCACATCAGATTATTATATCCATCTTTTAAACATCAATTCTAGAACAAAGCTGAGCTGGTATGTATGGAAGCGCATAATGTACACCCCTTGTAAAGTTACTTTGTTGCAAGTCGGAATTATAAGTTATGTCCCCCCAAGGACCCTGAACAATTGGGGCAAGTATAGAAACTACATTCAAGCCTGATACAGCTCTGGTGTTGGATTGTGATTAACCATTTGACACAACATATGTTTCTGGCACCAAATAAATATGTTCAAAGAACTAAAAAATTTGTTATTGGACTTTTTACCTTAATGGTGCATTATTCAACATCGAAATAGATTCACGATCTCCAAGTCACCAAGAGTTAAATTTTTGTTGAAATCAAACAAAGTTATATTTTTGACTTTTTGGAGACCAATTTGGACCAACTTGAGCATGGGACCCAAAATCGAAAATCTTAATATACAGTTAGAATCACTGCCATTTCAAAGAACACCCAGAATTTTAACTTTTAATGAAATAAAACATTTTTTAAAATTTAAGACCCAATAGACGTCAATGTAGAACAACTTGGAAAAATGGAACAAAAAAATCTAAATGCATAGTTAGATTCAGAATACCAAATAATATTAAGTTACCATTAAATCAATCCAATAAGATTCTTACCATCAATTAGCTTTCGCCCCCAAGGGTGACTGGGGAATAGAAGTATGGTCACCATTGGTCTTCCTCCGACCGGCAGTAAAACCCTTGCTAAAGTGGGGCGTCCGTTTGGCTGTGCGGGATGTACAAATTTGCAGCCACGTCCGGTCAGATTGGGGACGTTAAATTCGATGCCTCGTGTAATGAGAGTGCCACGCTCTTTGCACGTTAAGAACACTTGCAACAACTCTTTGAGGGGTCCGTAGGTGACCTGTTGCAAGGCTAAATTTCTGTCTCTATCCAATATACCCTCATTTCCCGTGGCAGTCTAAATTTCTCCGACCTTAATCCCGGACGCCCCTCTTACAGAACCTACCTATTGTATTTATTGTTAATTTGTTCTCGTCCTGAATATGCATGAAATATTTGCCACTGGACGTTAAGCAACCAACAATCAATCAATCAATTAGCTTTCTTTTAGTCCTTTGGCCCATTTCATCTTTTGAAGAGCTGGCCTTATTAGTCTTTGTCACCCCCAAGGGTGACTGGGGAATAGAAGTATGGTCACCATTGGTCTTCCTCCGACCGGCAGTAAAACCCGTGCTGAAGTGGGGCGTCCGTTTGGCTGTGCGGGATGTACAAATTTGCAGCCACGTCCGGTCAGAATGGGGACGTTAAATCCGATGCCTCGTGTAAAGAGAGTGCCACGCTCTTTGCACGTTAAGAACCCTTGCAACAACTCTTTGAGGGGTCCGTAGGTGACCTGTTGCAAGGCTAAATTTCTGTCCCTATCCAATATACCCTCATTTCCCGTGGCAGTCTAAATTTCTCCGACCTTAACCCCTTCATCTATTACAGAACCTACCTATTGTATTTATTGTGAACTTGTTCTGGTCCTGAATATGCATGAAATATTTGCCACTGGACGTTAAGCAACCAAAAATCAATCAATCAATATTAGTCTTTGGCTTCTGTTGGTCCACCTTGTCTACCTTCTTGTTAGTAGATTGTTGTGATTTCTTGCTTGGTGAATGTAAACCTAAATAGCACATATCTGAACTTTTAGAATAAAAAAAAACTTGGATTTGCTTGTAAAATTTATTGTGTTATCAGATTCAATCAGGTTAAATTTACATTAATATGGATTTTACAGGAAACCTCATATTTTACAATTTCAATGTTCGACATTGGAAAACAAACCCATAAAAAGTTTAAAGTTCCAACACTTCGACTAAAATAGATTAAATTTTGACAAAAATATTTACTATAAAAACAATATAAAACATTTCTAGAATTATGAACTATACAATTTATGGGAATTTTTTTATTGGATATATAGCAGTATGACAAAAACTTATTTTGATAATTGAGAAACTTGAGTTTTCTTTTCTCTTTTTTTGTTGAAAAAATAGAGAAAAATAACTATAGGTTAAATTAAAACACAAACCTATCGAAAAAGAATTCTCCTGGTCTTCAGAAATTGTACTTGTTGCCTCCAACATCTCTTTTTGTCTACTTGCAATTTGCTTTGACAAACCTGGTCCACATGACAACTTTGAGGGTGTCAACATTTGAAGGGGCACAGTATTTTCTATCCTTGGCAAATATCCTTCTTGTGTCTTTGATAAGCGCTTAATTTCTTCCACGCCTAAAATAGGTTTTCCTTCTTTTAAATTTGTAAAAATTCCCCAGATCCACAAAACTTTATTAGTTGTCTCTCTTGAATATTGTCTCTAACACAAAAGACCACAGACAAGTCTATAGTCTGAAGGTCAGTAAGTCTTTTAATCTGTTTGGTTATATGTTTAATTGAATTGGACTTTATCCTCCTTTCATTGCTCCTTGCCCCCAAGGGTGACTGGGGGATAGAAGTATGGTCACCATTGATCTTCCTCCGACCGGCAGTAAAACCCTTGCTAAAGTGGGGCGTCCGTTTGGCTGTGCGGGATGTACAAATTTGCAGCCACGTCCGGTCAGAATGGGGACGTTAAATCCGATGCCTCGTGTAAAGAAAGTGCCACCCTTGCAACAACTCTTTGAGGGGTCCGTAGGTGACCTGTTGCAAGGCTAAATTTCTGTCCCTATCCAATATACCCTCATTTCCCGTGGCAGTCTAAATTTCTCCGACCTTAATCCCTTAATCTATTACAGAACCTACCTATTGTATTTATTGTGAACTTGTTCTCGTCCTGAATATGCATGAAATATTTGCCACTGGACGTTAAGCAACCAACAATCAATCAATCAATCAATTTCGTATCGAATCATAGACAGTACAAAAGATTTAATAATAAAAACAAAACTTGATGCAGATGAAAAGGTCAAAGAAAGACAAAGAATGCGGAAAAGAAAAAGCAGAAAATTAGAGACCAAGAAGAAGAAAACAAGTGATGACAAGGTGAGACATATATCACAAAGAATAAAGGACGAACTACACCGTCATGTCACTCAAGCCTCCACAAGAAAAAGAGCACAACGCATTCGCCAACATTTGCCAGAGTCCAGGGGCTTGGCCAATACAGTTACGCATTTGATAAGAAATGACAATCCTCGTCAAAAATCCAAGCTCATGAATTTTAATATCTCGGATAACATAGGTAAGTTGCAAATTAGAAAGCTTCAAGAAACTCTGCATATTCATAAAATCGGCAGATCAACACGTGAATTTTAGAATGACAAAAACAACTTGCATTCTCATCAGGTGAACTTCCGAATCAAAATAAAACCGTAAACTTATACAGAAAGAAACAAGGGCATCAAGTAAAGGGTTGTACATGTTGTATTAGCCATATAAATTTAGACGACAACGGATAAGCAAACTTGTGGACTTTTTAGGAGAAAACTCTAGGGTTATGCCAAATAGAATAGATACAGTCCTTATAAATGGTGAACGCGTTGCAAAGAGACATATCTTATTCTCAAAGATGGAAACCTTTAAGAGGTTTAAGAGAGAAATCCAACATTTCATAGACTTTGATAAAATGGTTCCCAAAAAACTTTAGAATAGACAATTAAGTAGTGGAACAATGGCTTGAAGACGAAATAAATCTATATTTGTAAGATGTTTTGTGTAGCTTTTGGAAGCCAGTACATAGTTGGAACTTTCATTGTATTTGGTTTTGCTTGTAAAGAAGTAGCTAAAAGTTTATGTCTTACATATGTCGTTTTCCGAAAATGGAGTCAGTTGGAATGTTGGTGAATTCATGATTTCTATTGCAAAACCTGAATGTAAAATTTACGTCAAACAATAATGATATTATTAGCAGCTTGATCAGCCGGGACAAAACCAAATTCCTTGGCGAGTTATTTTAGTTTATGTTTGATACGAGAAATAGGGTTCTTATGGTTGTTGTTAAGAGTAAAATGTTCTTAAAATGTTGTATACGTATATCAACTATTTTCATTACTGAATTAAAAAAAAGAGTTTAAAGATTTCTTGTCAGCTTTTTCTCGTTTTATCCATTTCGAACAGTAAGTATGGAGTGAGTCGTGGATGATATTACGACACTCATTCCAATTAATAATTGACGGGAGACGATATTTAGGTCCTTTACTGAGGAATGATTTCAACTCTCTGTCACAAACGTTGTTAAGGTCTCCAGTTATGACATGGGAACTGGGGCCATAAATGTATTCGGAATTTACTGCAATTACATGGCGTAGGTGTATTGTCACTGATATTTACATCTTTACACACTTGGCTATAATTAAACATTTCCGAGTAGATCTTTTGTAAACATCCATCTCACATGCAAACGTCTCCTTG